AATAGTGGCCCAATGCAATGGCAGCGCTATCGATTCCCAATACGGTTACTGAGAAAGTTTAGTGACAACATTCCCGTTTTTCTTTGATTACCTCGGAGCAGCATAAAACTACTTGTAAAGATCAACGATCCTAGCTCTTTCTATAGTTTCGTTCGCTGCGGACGAAACTATAGAAAGAGCTAGAATCGGAGATGCGGATGATGGGCGATAAGACTGTTACGTATCATGCGTATCAGTAGTTTTAGACCAGTTGTTTTTACTTATCCTCCTCAGCAACCGGTAAAGAATGGGCTGGCAGCGCGCCAAACGCGGCTGTGCTGACACGCCCCATCATCCGCAGCGAACAAGCCGGTACTTACGCCTGAACCTTCTCGTTGACTTTGCTTTGCGAAGAAACCCACATTTTTGTAAAAACGTCACTCCTCCAAGATATGGTCCCTTTTTGTGGCTTCCCCTTCACAGGTACATTTCAGAAAGGCTTTATGATGAAGGAAAACTACCCTAATTTCTCGGGTACAAGGCACACTTGCTCGTATAATCGCAAAAACTCGCGCGAAAAGTCTTTGAACACAGCATCAGCTTTTCTAGGTCCTTTCTTGCACATTCTAAAGTTCCAAATGGTTTCAAAACACTTAATAATCATCCTATATCACTTATAAGAGAGAAACAAAAAAAGCCGAAGAGGAGAGCCTGGAGAAACATCCGCACCGTTTGAAGCAGAGGTATGGTCTGGGATATAAGGTACACGGATGCACCTTATATCCCTGAAAACAGGGCATTTGGTCTACATCAGGTACCACACCGGTTAATTGCCCATATGTGCATGCTACTCCTATTTTAGAATTGTAATTATGCATTGCTCAACGTTGTTTACGTGCAGCACCGTAAACTAATGACCAACGCCAGTAATCTCATTAGACTTTGATGAGGACATGACTCAGCAAAAGTATTGCGAAGGTAGATAGGAGTGAGGTGTTAAATAATTGGGAATGAAGTAATGCTTCAATTTTTGTTTTCTTTTTCGGTAGGACCCTAACAGTAATGAACTCGATTATTCCTCGCTGATTACTTCGAGCTGTGTTTAAACTCTCACTGCACGAACGAGCGAACGGCACAAACAATGGTTCGCAAAAAGGGGCAATTTTTGTTACAGTACAGCAAAGACTACCCTTCTTGGTCGCGCCTGAGTGCAAGACTTGGCAGGCTTTTCAAGAAAGAGGTAGAAAACGAAGAATTGCAGCACAAATTGGATTCATGCCGAGGGTGGAGAGAAATTCCGATTACCCGATGATGAGCAGAGCTTTTCCTTGTGCCCAAGAGGTGCCAGTCCGACTATCCTTGGGCGACTCCACTCCACTGCCCTCCATTAAAGGCTACGGAGGATGCTTGCGACATTTATGAAGACGAAAGGAATGCACTTCGCAAAGACTGCTGGTGCACCATGCCAGGGATGAAAGTCAGATGGTTCTCTGTCCTAACACCCGCGAGCGATCCTTTGCGTTCATTCTATGTAAGAAATCAACGCTTGCCGTCCACTCGGTCATTCACAGTTCAGTCGTCGTCCAGGTGACCTGATTCGCGAGTGGCAAGGGACGCGACGCGGCTGCGGTGTGTTGCGAGCGCGGCGACCACCTGTTTCCAGCCTATTTTAGTCATTTTCTCCCTAGTTTACGTTGTTTTGGCTGCTTTCACGATTATTTTCGTATTTTTTCTGAGCGCTTAGTTGTGTTCGTCTATATGAAGTATATTAGGACGGGGAGTGTTTTCTTTTGCTTTGCAACAGTGTTTTTGCGATTTTTTTCTCAGCTATTTCTTCGATGGCCTGCTTAACTGTTTAATTGTACGCAAAAACCAGAAGAATCTCAATCATAATAACTTGTGAAGACAAGAAACAACTAATCGTGAGAAAAGCAGCCAAAACAGCGTAAACTAGGGAGAAAATGGCTAAAATAGGCTGGAAACAGCTGATCGCCGCGCTCGCAACACACCGCAGCCGCGTCGCGTCCCTTGCCGCAATAATCAAGTCACCGGATGACGACTGTATCTTTTAACCTCTCATTAATTCGCTAATGATCTCTCGCTCGCGCAGCAAAGTTTTGCTTCTTTGAATACTTCTCCAATACAGCCTCATTTATGACATCTTTGACTATTTTGGCCCCTCCTTTCTTCACTGGTAAGTCAATTAGCACCTACGAACACACATTTATACCCCAAAGCTCTGGAATTCAATTGTGCGACGCTTTTCAGAGGTACATGCTCCCACGGCCCTCAAATAACTTGCGATATTAATCACCAAAAAGACTGGTCTAGTCCCGTTGTCGACTCACGCCCATATCCATCGCAGCTTCCTTAGCAACAGGATTGCTGTCATATGTACGGAACACAGGCTCAATAGCCAGTGTAAGAAATAATTAATGTAAGATGCCGCCGCACACTCTTGTAAGATCACGAGTGCTTCTTCTGGGATCTTGCTAAAAATTTTCTGAAAAATTACTGCAGCTTTCATAAAAGTCGTGGTGATGACCTGTAACCACACCCTGAATTCGTCATGTATTCCGGTTCTCGCTCGAATGCGGGTTCGGACGCACCTCAACAGCGGCTTCCTACTCTTCTAGCAATCGCACGACTGCTATAAAAGCCTTTTGCGTCTTGAAGACACATTCGAGGATAACCAGTTTCGGAAGGTGAGGTTAAAAGCACGGTCCGCGATAAGGAGCGTAGGTGTTGGCGGCGAAATGTGGAGGGGAAGTTGCCGAGTGACTCGTCCGTGAGGAGAAAATGCCAAAGGGAACGGCGAAAACACCTTTAATATGACCCCTTATGCCTCAAACAATTGCACGGGTGAAATGCCAAAAAAAACCGCTTGCTGGGGCGACTTCAGTTTGCCGACTCCTTGTATGAACCCTATGACCCCACAAGAGACAATGTAGCATCCATTTCGTGCTACTTGTCCGGTAGCATCGCTTTTGGCTGGAAGGCAGGCTTTGGAGGCGGGTCTGGAGGCGGAGTCACTGGAAAAAGGGAGGTACCACTGGAGCAATTTTGCAGCATAACTTCTACACCTTACAACTTTCGGCCGTAAAACTGAGTTGTTCACTGCGGACCATCTACCTCTCCAAATTTCTTCTGTCGCATCTCAATAGGTCATCGTCGGACACGTTTCTGTAACATACGAACTAACAAATGCCCAGTGTCTAACTTCGTCAATTGTAAGCAAGAAAAAGCAAAGCAAAAAAAAACGCTCAAGAGCACTAAATGAAGCTTGGTTGGTTCTCAGAAGCCAAGGAGCAGAGATCGGAAGCCCTGGGACCATATACCATATAGTCGCAGGAAAAATTATAGTATGCATCAATATATTGCAGGTGGGGCCAAGTGGAAGAAGGCGGGTCGGGCGTTGTTACCGCACACTTTTGAGTAGCGAAGTGGTACACTTTGAGTGGCAATGGACCTGCTCAACGTATAAGGATTTAGCTCCTGGTGATCGCGGAATATATCTTTAAGGAGTTTTATACTGGCCATGAGATTTCCGATAGTTGGTTTTTAATAGGCGGTGTTTGAAAGCAAGTCTTACATCATCATCTGAATCATCGTAAACATAGCTAGCATTCCTAGCTGGAATCCGCCGAATTCTCCGTGATTTCTCCTCAGATGGTTCAGGACTGTCAGTTACCGAAGGACTGAGTGATGACGCGCGTCGTGTGGGTATCTCTGGTGATGGTGTAAGACGACCCTTAAAACAAAAGTACAATCTAACGAAACATTTGGATAAGGCAGTCTTTGACAAACCGGTTGTGTACGTCGTCGTTCTGGATGGACCAAGTGCATTGAGACGACGTCCAGATGGAATTTGTTCCGTTTGGATCGTCGAAGGCTGTCCGCCTCTGACGACATTCTGCAATAGAGAACCGTGTGATAACTTTACTTCTCCAATCCACGTTATCAAACACGTATACTTCATTGAGAAGCCCTCGAGGAATAGTGCGGTCAGTGATCATTACGCAACTTACTGCTCTAATAAATGAAAGGCACTTTGAAAATACTGCTCTAATAAATGAAAAAATGAAGCACTTTGAAAATAATTGAAGGAAATGAAAATTTATGTGGTGGAAGGGAACTGACTGAAGTTCGCTGAGAAAAAGGAAGAGAGAAAACGGGAAAGATTTGACGACTAATGACAGAATTTTTTTAGGGAGCATATTTTCGGGAGTTGGTAATCCTACATATTTCAAGAGGTGAGAGAAACAAAATCACGTCATCTCGCAATTCCCTGTTTGAAGAAGACTACTGTAGGACAGAAATCACATTTCGGACATTGAGAATAGGAGGGAACCAATGTTTCGGAATTAGACGGGCAACTTCCGCTCAAAGTCGAATGATGAGCTCCTGCCTAAGATAAAAACGGCTAAAAGTTAAAAAACGGAATCTTCAAGGTTAGTCAATCCCTTTTTGGGATGCTGCACGCATTCTAGTTCCATTCTGAATCGCAACGGCTCACTTGGATAATATGTGGCGTTTACAATGACTTGCGGGTGCTAGCTACTGTAAAGGTCAGTGTTCTCATCCTCGCAGACAAATCTGGTACCAAATCCTCGTCCCTGGGAGGTAGACGACTAGCCTGGGCGAGAGCTGGTCCGGGATTGCATCCTCGGGTCGTGCGCATGGTAAGCGTGCAACTGGCCACGCCATAGAAAAGGCTGGTTCTTTGTACAGGGGGAAGACACTTTCAAGACGCTTGAGTCACATGTCAGTAAAGTTTACGCAGCCCAGAGAGAAGACGTGGATACGAGTACCAGGGCGGAAGATACCCAAGATGTTCCTCGATAAGCAGGAGCAGGCTCTCGTCCATCACCTTCATGTACACCAAAATATGAAGCCATCTCCAATCGCAGCACTGGAGAAGGCCTTGGAATTCACGTCACCTCCAAACAGCTGCGAAACTTCTTGTATGGAGTCACCCATGGATAGCTACCTGGAGACCAGTACTCTTGATCTGGAAGACCTCCAACATCGAGCAGCTCCGACAACGTCGCTACGGTCCAGGATATCATCTTCACCGCAGTCGCCAAGGCGCGGGTTGATGGTATGGACCGGAAGTTCCTGGAATGGGAAGACCGATATTTTCTTCGTGGACCCCGGACTGAAAGTGAACGCTGACGGTTACATCGACCAACTCGAGGAGAATATCCTGCCTTCATGTCGTCGCCTGTACCTTCTTGGAAACTTCGTACTGCTACAGGATTGGGTGCCACCACATGGAATCGAAGGGCGTTGGAAAAACTCTCGCCTACTTGGAATGGAAGGGCGTTGAGTACCTGAAGAAGACGGAATATCCAAGTGTGTCACCTGACTTAAACCCCTCGATTACCGGGTCCGAGCGGAGCTCAACAGGGTGGTCTACAGCGGAGAAATCAACGACCTCGCTGAACTCAGGCACCGAATCACGGTCGCGTGGCAGAATCTCTCGATGGCGTTCGTCCAGAAGGCTGTGGCGGAGTTTCGTGATAGTGTACAATGTGTTGCTGTATTATGGTGGTGTACAATCACAGTTTAACAAAGTGTAAGTTATATTGCCTCGAAAGTCGAGGAAGAAAAGTGCTTTTTCTG